AAAAATGATAGTCCCACTAAGTCCAAACCATTGCGTATCGCTGCAGAATGCTGTGGTAGCCATGCTAGTTAAGTGTGCCTTGAATTATAAAATCAGACAGTGTCACCAGTAAAGCACACCCACACCATAACACCACCACCTCCATGCTTTACGGTGGGAACTACACATGCGGAGATCATCCGTTTATCCACACTGCGTCTCACAACCAAAAATCTCCAATTTGGACTCCAGACCAAAGGACAAATTTCCATCAGTCTAATGACCATTGCTCGTGTTTCTTGGCCCAAGCAGGTCTCATCTTCTTATTGGCGTCCTTTAGTGGTTTCTTTGCAGCAATTCGACCATGAAGGCCTGAGTCACACAGTCCCATCTGAACAGTTGATATTGAGATGTGTATGTGACTTTAACTCTGAAGCATTTTTTGGACTGCAATTTCTGAGGCTGGTAACTCTAATGAACTTATCCTCTGCAGCAGAGTTAACTCTGGGTCTTCCATTCCTGTAGTGGTCCTCATGAGAGCCAGTTTCATCATTGTGCATGATGGTTTTTGCGACTGCACTTGAAGAAACGTTCAAAGTTCTTAATTTTCCATATTGGCTGACCTTCATGTCTTAAAGTAATGGACTGTCGTTTCTCTTTGCTTATTTGAGCTGTTCTTGCCATAATATGGACTTGGTATTTTACCAAATAGGGCTATCTTCTGTATACCCCCCCTACCTTGTCACAACACTACTGATTGGCTCAAACACATTAAGAAGGAAAGAAATTCCACAAATTAACTTTTAACAAGGCACACCTGTTAATTGAAATGCATTCCATGTTACTACCCCATGAAGCTGGTTGAGAGAATGCCAAGTGTGAAAAGCTGTCATCAAGGCAAAGGGTGGCTACTTTGAAGAATCTCAAATATAAAATATATTTTGATTAGTTTAACCCTTTTTGGGGAGGGGGTTACTACATTATTCCGTATGTGTTATTGTGTAGTTTTGATGTCTTCACTATTCTACAATAATACAAATAAAGAAAAACCCTTGAATGAGGAGGTGTGTCCAAACTTTTGACTGGTAGTGTATGTCCTTTTGTAGTAGCAATTTCACCCACACCCCCTCAAATGAACTCAGCTCTGTAGCAAACTGAAAGTTGTATTTCATTGTGCAAGTTCTCCTGATTATTATTTTTTTCTCTAGACATATAAAGCCTTCCTCCCAGCGATGACTGCCAACAACCATGGTCACCTGGTCAGTATTGCTAGTACGGCGGGTATGATTGGTGTCAATGGACTAGCAGGTAAACCACTTACTATGCCTGTGTGCATGACTTACTTCAATGTTCCTCAATACTGGTCCTGGAGAGCGACAGGGTGTGTAGGCTTTTGTTCCAGTCAGCACCAAGACACCTGACAGCTAATCAATGTTTTAACGACGGACTAAATCCGGTGTGTTGGTGCAGGGCAAAAACAAAAGCCTACGCACCCCATAGCCGTAGTGCAGAACATTGCCTTTGTCTTAAACTCTGGGCACAACATTACGCAATCAAGAGACCTACCGTAGAGCTGATCGATAGCTGTTATCAATCAACCTTGAATGGGTGAAAAAATGTCATTTTTAACTTGTTCATGTACTGTAGTTGAAGGGTCTTTTCCATAGACTGACTGGGGTACAGAAAATGGGACAATGCAATTTCACAGTTTAGTTGACATTTATCTTGATGTGGAGACCCGTTTTATATGGTCTATGTTGGGGTGTTTTACTTCTCTTTTCTTTCTCTCTGCGTTGTTGGGAAGGGCCTGTAAGTAAGCATTTCACTGTTAGTCCACACCTGTTGTTTACGAAGCATGTGATGAATACAATTTGATTTGAGTCTTTTGTTTAACCTGCTCTACAGTATGCCAATACATGCATTTCTCTCCTGATAGATTACTGTGCCAGCAAGTTTGCTGCTATTGGCTTTGCTGAGTCTGTGGCTCTGGAGCTGCTGGCTACGGGGAAGGATGGAGTCAAGACTACTATCGTGTGTCCACACTTCATCAACACTGGCATGTTCGATGGCTGCAATTCTAAGTAAGTTATCAGCCATAATAGGTGCTTTACAGGATTTCATTGAAAGTTGCCATATTTATATCCTTATTGTCACAATACACACACTATGAAGGTCAAGGGTCACATTACATATGTTTATACACTTTTTTTCATTTGTGGGCTGATAGTTACTCAATGTTGCTAGTCAACATTGCTGGTTTATATAATGAGTTATGTTTATATTATGAGGGTATACAGTATCACTTTCAACAACAAACAGAATTACTTACTGTACACAAGAAGAAATGCTTACTATGGAAGTTGTTTTATTGTCACATACACTGGATAGGTGCAGTGAAATGTGTTGTTTTACAGGGTCAGCCATAGTAGTATGGTGCCCCTGGTGAAAATTAGGGTTATGTGCCTTGTTTAATTGACAGACTGTTTATTTTTTTCACCTTGTTGGCTCGGGTGTTCGAACCAGGGACCATTTGGTTACAGGCCCAATGCTCTAACTGCTAGGCTACCTGCCGCCCTATCGACCAGATGCACTAGTATGTGAAATGACTCCCACCCCCCACAGGTGGCCTCTCTTGGTGCCTGTCCTGGATCCAGACTACGTAGCAAAGAAGATCATTGAGGCCATTTTAACTGACCAGGTCTACCTTCTGCTCCCAAAGAGCATGTATCTTCTCATGGGCATGAAGAAGTGAGTATCCCTTCATGTTCTTACTCTCTCTTCCTTATGGAAATAAAATGTTTTTTTCTATTTTTCACACTGCCTCACTCACTGAGAGATCTGCTGCACAAACACACACAACGCATTGTCACTCCATTCCAACACTCAGAAATGGTTACATGTTCAAACTGCACAGTCTAGTCATACCCACTGGTGACAACGTCTGTTTCCTCTACAATTGCCCATGTAGGGTGCCCTCAGTCTAGTTCTCTAGCCTGCCTCACTGCCTAAAGTAGATTCAAGTATTTCAATGGTTAGTATCTGCCCTAGATGTTACATTGAGTCCTTTAGGGCTTGGCTTTACTGTTCCTGACCCCAAACTAGCCTGTTAGTATGAGTCTTCAATGTCTCTTAGCCAGACCGACAGCTTTTTTGCTCATCGCCTCATTCACGGGGCACCCGCGATATGCTGTTTTCCTTACACAGCCCACCCGCCCTTCTCCCGACCGGCGACACTACAGCTGCCAGTCGGAGGCAAACCGCTTTTTCGGCGTCAAGCCAGCGGCATGCCTCTACTCCCTTTCGCCACTTATTTTTATATATATGTATTATTTGAGATGCATTGGATGCTATGTCCCTTTGAAAAAAGGTTTGATTTCCTATAAGTATTTACAAGTATTGAAAATGATTATGTATGTGCAAGATATCAGATGAGGAGGTCCTGGTTCCCTGGATCAACAGGTGACAAATACATTTAGTCATCAAATTGTATTTTTTATTGACAGGCTTCTCACACAGTGAAATGGCAACAAAAGTGACATAGTAAAGGAATCAAATAAGTGACATTGTAAATATACAAAAATAAGACTAAATTAAATCAAGTACAAAATAATCATGCAGACTAAACAAAAATAATTATAATAGCCTATAGGCATATAATATGGACATGTATTTGACCATGTGCAGAATAACTACATTGACATGTGAGTCATTTAGCAGACACTCTTATCCAGAGCGACTTAAAGTTAGTGAGTGCATACATTTTTCATACTGTGCCGTCTCCCAATTGTCTAGACCAGTGAATAATAATGTAGAGGCATGAATTATCCCGCAAAACACTGACTTTCACACCAGGCAAGTTAATTACACTAACAGTTAAAAAATGAGGGTGGATCAGAGATACAAATTAGGCCAAATTACCTGCTCCCTTTTAACTTAAAGCATCTTCTTTCCCAGTGAAACCCTAAGATATTTAGCTTCCTTGTGAGAGGTGAACAGAAACAAACAGGGCTATGCCATGTCTAAAAGTAATATTGCAGAGAACAATTTTAATGAATAATTGTGCGATTCATAATGACATAGGCTAAAGAACTACGTTTAGCATGTACTTAATTGAGTTTACTTTGCTAGCTTAACGTGTTACTGTTTGAGCAAACATTAAAGACCGACAATAGTAAGTTATGAAAGTTTGCATTAGCTATGACAATTGTCTGAATCATAACATGTAACACGAGAAGGAAAGCTGTAACGTTACTTGAACAAAAGAGTTGCAGTAAAAAACACTAGAGAAGGGGTTTTTTCCCGCCAGAAAATGAATGGTTGGCATCCAACCTCAATTAAAATGAATGGATTGGTGTTGACGATAAAGTGGACGTGCCAAGCCCACTAACCAATCCCAGTAGACCTTTTACTTTCTGTGCGGTAACATGGGTGGGGGTTTTGCTCAAGGACCAATGGAATCTCTCTCCATGATTCAAACTCGAGGCCAGCGAATTGGTGCTCCATCTATCTTTTGACTAAAAGTGTGCCACTAGTATATATTCGGTATTTCAAAATGTTCAGTAGTGATAAATACAAACCAATTTAAACTGTTCTTTGGTTCCAAAAGACTACTGTTGCCATTTTTCTATACCTACTACCACGTTCGAGGGAGGATGGCTACTAACTTCCTGTTGATGACATTGGGCTTTCTGGCTTCTTTTGTGAGGGTTTAAGAGGTGCCGCCACCTCCTGTAAGTAGTGTGCATTTCTCTTTTGGCAAGGTTGAAGGAGAGTATACATCAGACTGTAGCAGCCTATGTATATCTAATGCAAATAACAATACTCGGCAAAGGAGGGTAAAAAGTGGGTAGTTAGAGGGTTAACCTCGATCTGTGGTCACAGATCAAAAGGCTATCCCCCCCCCCCCTCCTTAATGAAATGGCGACAGGTTCCTGAAGTTTAGCAATGCAGGCTATTCATTGAAATTTACATTTTAAGTTGCAACATTGACTGTCTTTGATTTTGAACATTAGTTTGAAGCAATGAACAGGCCATGGAATTAAATCTACATTGGAATGTAGGCTATGTATTAATGGCGTCAATACAATAGACTAGAATTGGCTTCATGACCACAGACAATTTCACCCTTAATGACAGCGATCAACAATGTTTGAAGCAGTGGAGTGGCATCTCGTTTAACAAAGCAAATGGAACAGTTGGTAAAACCACTATTTTTTTTAACCAGCATTTACATCAAGTGCACTTGACCGCCCTCATGTTTTGCTTTCATTTATTTATTTTGTATGTAAGAGCGGTTTGAAAAGACCGCCTGAAATTTCAGCCTGTTTTAGTGGGATGGAGTTTTTGCCTGCTTGGTGACAACACCGGGCGGTAAATTAGTTAATAATAGTAATATGCCATTTAGCAGGGACCAATAAGAGTTCCAAACCTCTGCCAATAACTGCTCGTTTTCAGTTTTCCCCTCCCTACTTGCACCACTTCGACGGTCCTAGCTAAATTCCTGCTTGAGAAATTGCTCTTTGCTAACAAGCCATTTGTTTATTTTTGACCATTTTAATTGAAACAATCAAAGTAAGGTACTTATTTAATATTGAGATAAAAATGGCTGCATTGGACCTTTTTTTAAGGGAAAGACCAACATGGTCACAGGCCATAGGTGACTGGACTAAGGCCAATGGGTCAACCTGAGATTCTGCCGTTAAATCGCCATGTGTAACAGAAACGTTTTAACATGGTCATCGACCTTGGTGAACCTAGCATATAAATTGTCCCCTTAATGGTGCTCGTGTCTTATAGATAGTCAGAGAGAGGAGGGACACAGATGGTTTTTCCCTGCACACAGTCCAACTTAATTGAGCTGGGTTGCCAAGCATTCCAGACAATGTGATATCATTCACAACACCTTGTCTTCATCTCCATTAAGGCTTGCAAGTACCGGTAAACACTTACCCAGACCTTACTTATGCATTGATGCCAATTACGGATCAGTCGCTGATAAAGCAGCACCTGGTTGAGTGGGCAGCAAGACTATCTGGAGACGACACCGATTTATTTATTCAGACCTACACCTGATTTGCACTGCAGTTGACTAATGATATGCAACCTCAACATTTCAATCTACGCCAAAGCCTTTTTGTGTAATGGAAATGTCTTTGAGACAGGTGTGGTAGAACACTTTTGGAAATTTGGCCAGGTTCTGGTGGGTAAGTCTTAATTAGAAGCGATTTGCATGGCTACTTTCGTTCATTGAGGCCTTTTGAGAGTGAGTTGTTGGCTTCATGCTGAATACAACACAATACACCCATGACTAATACAGTAGATTTAATCACTCACCACCAATTAGACTGAATGATTAAGACATGAAATGGCTTCTCATATTATTAACATCTTTAGTAGTGCAGTTATGGTGTTATCATGCCCTTTTGAAATAAGTTTTGTTCCTGGACTGGAAGACATTCAAACAGCATTGATTATGCTCTGAATAATTTATTGGATTTTCATCAGTCGTTTTTAATTGAGATTTAATTTATTCCCACTGTGATTACCAGTTTTCCTATATAACAGAATAAATGACTTGCTGTACTTTGTTCTAATGAAGTCATTCTGACTCTTTCAATTCCAGACTCTGTAGTTTGTTCTCATAATAGGCTTTAAGTTGTGCATTGCAGTGATCATTGCTAATATTTAGCCTAATTGACTGCTGTTCTCATCTTCACAGGATTTTACCCTTTAAGACTGGGAATCTGCTGGGGCTGTACCTGGGAGCATTCAACTTTATGGATGCCTTCAAAGGACGCGTCAAGAAAGAGGGGTAGTGAAGAAGACGAGACCAACCACACATACTCAGTACATTTTGTCTCAGACTCAAAGGTGATTGATAGTGCCGATCATGTTTATCTGTAGGTTTTTCCCTTTTTAAATGTTTTATTTTTGTTTAACTAATTTGAGTGTATGACGAAAAGCCTACGTACTAGTTTACATCGGCAGACGAGGGATATGTGTAGGATAAGGTAATCAAATACTGATAAATATGTAACGAATGTATGACCTTAAAAAAAAGATGATGGTGATATGTATTTTCATAGCATCAACACAAGTAGACTTGAGTGTGCTTTTTGGATCGACAGACTCCGTATGAAATGTTTTTACGAGTTATATTCACTTTATGAAGTTCACACTGTGTATGTTAGCTCACTACACTGACACAGGCTCAATAGCTAAATGTGGTTCCTTGTTTAGTGGAATATGTCCTCTTCTTATTTTATTTTTTTGTGTCCCCTTTTTGGCCTGAAGGAACATTGGAAGGTTTTATATTGTTGATGCACTTTTTTTGTGTTCATTTGTTAATACAGATCTATTGTTGTGGGGGTATCGAGATTACGTTTTTGTTAACATGGGTGTTTAGAATAAGTTATTGTTCACGTGGATGTTTTAGATTACTACATACGCACAATATGTTCTAATGGCCAAGTAGAGAAACTCAGGAAAAAGTGTCATGTAAGGGATCATTACCTGTGTGTACTGGACTAGTTTGTACATTTGGCAAAGTCTACAGTAGCCATTGAAGGTGATGGATTACTCCATTGATTTTCCTATTGGCAATAAAGTAATAATGCACATGACACTTTAGATGTGTTAGGCATAGGTTTGGAATGGTAGGATAATTGATTAGCTTTTGTTGGAAAATGAGAGTTTGGTACATACTATGTTCTCTTAACTGGACAACCTACCCTTTATATTTGAAATTACTGACAGCTATTTATTGCTTAATCAGGTACAATGTTTTACTTTGACATTGAAGACGAGATGACCACGTGAGTTAACTAATTGTATTTAACTTGTCAGTCGTGTTGCATTTTAATAACCACAATAGCATTGTTTACATGTGTAACAATGTTGGTATCTAAATTAGTACTTTTAATAGTAAAAATTACTTATATTAACCTTTGATCTTGAAAAATAAAAGTTAGAAATGAGTCTTCTGTCAGGCTTTTTTCTAATGGCTCCGGTGGTTCTGGAATCACTAACATGGTCCCCATGTGCTTACTTGTTGAGTGTGATCATAGCCCCATCTTGTGGAGAATGAAAACCTGTTCTAATCATGTCTCTAACCACGTTTCCATCCAACAATTTCATGCGGATGAATTAGGCTACCTGACGCTTAAAAAAAAATAGTCACAACCGGGTTGATGGACACAATTGTATGATTGCCAATAGACCATTTTTTTCGTTCGACATGGTAGGACCGTTTTGTGTCGGTAAAATTAATAATGCGAGAAATGGCAGTGGAAATGCCTTTATGCGCAAATAATGATATAATAACCATCCTATCGAAGTAAACTTGGGAGTCACGCCACGATATGTTGTGTGGTCCTCCCACTATGACTCAGGAAAGCATTCAGTTTAGGCTACAGATGAACTAAATTATGAATTTCAGAGGGTGGTGAATGTGCACGGTGATGAGCTTGATGCTACTTTCCAATAAATATCGAGGGTGGCTGCCGTTTGACAAATACAACTAATATCGCTCTTATCCATAATTTCATGTACAGTGGGGGGGAAAAAAGTATTTAGTCAGCCACCAATTGTGCAAGTTCTCCCACTTAAAAAGATGAGAGGCCTGTAATTTTCATCATAGGTACACGTCAACTATGACAGACAATGAGAAAAAAAAATCAAGAAAATCACATTGTAGGATTTTTTATGAATTTATTTGCAAATTATGGTGGAAAATAAGTATTTGGTCAATAACAAAGGTTTCTCAATACTTTGTTATATACCCTTTGTTGGCCATGACACAGGTCAAACGTTTTCTGTAAGTCTTCACAAGGTTTTCACACACTGTTGCTGGTATTTTGGCCCATTTCTCCATGCAGATCTCCTCTAGAGCAGTGATGTTTTGGGGCTTTCGCTGGGCAACACGGACTTTCAACTCCCTCCAAAGATTTTCTATGGGGTTGAGATCTGGAGACTGGCTAGGCCACTCCAGAACCTTGAAATGCTTCTTACGAAGCCACTCCTTCGTTGCCCGGGCGGTGTGTTTGGGATCATTGTCATGCTGAAAGACCCAGCCACGTTTCATCTTCAATGCCCTTGCTGATGGAAGGAGGTTTTCACTCAAAATCTCACGATACATGGCCCCATTCATTCTTTCCTTTACACGGATCAGTCGTCCTGGTCCCTTTGCAGAAAAACAGCCTCAAAGCATGATGTTTCCACCCCCATGCTTCACAGTAGGTATGGTGTTCTTTGGATGCAACTCAGCATTCTTTGTCCTCCAAACACGACGAGTTGAGTTTTTACCAAAAAAGTTCTATTTTGGTTTCATCTGACCATATGACATTCTCCCAATCCTCTTCTGGATCATCCAAATGCACTCTAGCAAACTTCAGACGGGCCTGGACATGTACTGGCTTAAGCAGGGGGACACGTCTGGCACTGCAGGATTTGAGTCCCTGGCGGCATAGTGTGTTACTGATGGTAGGCTTTGTTACTTTGGTCCCAGCTCTCTGCAGGTCATTCACTAGGTCCCCCCGTGTGGTTCTGGGATTTTTGCTCACTGTTCTTGTGATCATTTTGACCCCACAGGGTGAGATCTTGCATGGAGCCCCAGATCGAGGGAGATTATCAGTGGTCTTGTATGTCTTCCATTTCCTAATAATTGCTCCCACAGTTGATTTCTTCAAACCAAGCTGCTTACCTATTACAGATTCAGTCTTCCCAGCCTGGTGCAGGTCTACAATTTTGTTTCTGGTGTCCTTTGACAGCTCTTTGGTCTTGGCCATAGTGGAGTTTGGAGTGTGACTGTTTGAGGTTGTGGACAGGTGTCTTTTATACTGATAACAAGTTCAAACAGGTGCCATTAATACAGGTAACGAGTGGAGGACAGAGGAGCCTCTTAAAGAAGAAGTTACAGGTCTGTGAGAGCCAGAAATCTTGCTTGTTTGTAGGTGACCAAATACTTATTTTCCACCATAATTTGCAAATAAATTCATTAAAAATCTGCTATATAATGCAACAGTTTTTGTGACAAAACCATCAGTTGAAAATGCGATGGAAACCCATTTAACTTGTATTTTTCATTTGGTACATGGAAATTTAACAGCAAAAGTATTTTTTATGTGCACTGCGTCATCACGCACAGCCTTTTTATCAGCAAAAAGTCAATTTGATGGAAAACTCTGATGGGAAAATCCCTATGTTGTTTTATGCAGATTTGAGAATATTCCCATGAAAATCTGTCGCAAATTGGTGAAAACCTAGCTAATGACTTGCCTGGCTAAAGCAACTATACAGTCGTGGTCAAAATTTTTGAGAATGACACAAATTCTAATTTTCACAAAGTCTGCTGCCTCAGTTTTGATGATGGCAATTTGCATATACTCCAGAATGTAATGAAGAGTGATCAGATGAATTGCAATTAATTGCAAAGTCCCTCTTTGCCATGAAAATGAACTTAATCCCCCCAAAACATTTCCACTGCATTTCAGCCCTGCCACAAAAGGACCAGCTGCCATCATGTCAATGATTCTCTCGTTAACACAGGTGAGAGTGTTGACGAGGACAAGGCTGGAGATCACTCTGTCATGCTGATTGAGTTAGAATAACAGACTGGAAGCTTTAAAAGGGGGGTGGTGCTTGAAATCATTGTTCTTCCTCTGTTAACCATGGTTACCTGCAAGGAAACACGTGCCGTCATCATTGCTTTGCACAAAAAGGGATTCACAGGCAAGGATATTGCTGCTAGTAAGATTGCACCTAAATCAACCATTTATCGGATCATCAAGAACTTCAAGGAGAGAGGTTCAATTGTTGTGAAGAATGCGTCAGGGCGCCCAAGAAAGTCCAGCAAGTGCCAGGACCGTCTCCTAAAGTTGATTCAGCTGCGGGATCGGGGCACCACCAGTGCAGAGCTTGCTCAGGAATGGCAGCAGGCAGGTGTGAGTGCATCTGCACGCACAGTGAGGCGAAGACTTTTGGAGGATGGCCTGGTGTCAAGAAGGGCAGCAAAGAAGCCACTTCTCTCTAGGAAAAACATCAGGGACAGACTGATATTCTGCAAAAGGTACAGGGCTTGGACTGCTGAGGACTGCGGTAAAGTCATTTTCTCTGATGAATCCCCTTTCTGATTGTTTGGGGCATCCGGAAAACTCCTTGTCTGGAGAAGACAAGGTGAGCGCTACCATCAGTCCTGTGTCATGCTAACAGTAAAGCATCCTGAGACCATTCATGTGTGGGGTTGCTTCTCAGCCAAGGGAGTGTGCTCACTCACAATTTTGCCTAAGAACACAGCCATGAATAAAGAATGGTACCAACACATCCTCCAAGAGCAAAACAAAACATCGACATTTTGGGTCCATGGCCAGGAAACTCCCCAGACCTTAATCCCATTGAGAACTTGTGGTCGATCCTCAAGAGGCGGGTGGACAAACAAAAACCCACAAATTCTGACAAACTCCAAGCATTGATTATGCAAGAATGGGCTGCCATCAGTCAGGATGTGGCCCAGAAGTTAATTGACAGCATGCCATGGCGGATTGCAGAGGTCTTGGAAAAAGAAGGGTCAACACTGCAAATATTGACTCTTTGCATAAACTTAATGTAATTGTCAATAAATGCCTTTGACACTTATGGAATGCTTGTAATTATACTTCAGTATACCATAGTAACATCTGACAAAAATATATCAACACTGAAGCAGCAAACTTTCTGAAGACCAATACCTGTGTCATTCTCAAAACTTTTGACCACGACTGTAGGCAACAAAAATAAATTGCGACATGTGTAATGGAAATGGCAGATATGAGAAATTTTC